TTCATCTATAAATAAAGGACTGGTCGACTGGATAGTACAGTTCGACATTCTCTTCAGTTCTGTGGTTCTCTTCTCTTCCTTGCTACTTCGAGTATAGCTCTTCAGATTACAGTGTACTTATTAATCTGAATGCTGTTTTAAATAAGAAACCATATACAACTAGATCTTTTTGTCATTAATAAACTTTTTTTTTTGGTTTTTGGGGGGATTTATTTCATTTTTATGGTAAGATAACAGAGATAGCTGTAAACTGAGTCCATGTCTACATAATTTGAGGAGTTTGCACGCGGTATGTTGGACTATTATAATAATTTTCTTTTGGTCAACTAGATGGCTTATTTCTATGGTGTGCTTTATGTATAACATGATTCATAATTATGTGATAAGCTCAGCTTCTTAATCTTGAATAGCTATAATCTATGATACTTGTGTTAGGATGTTATGCCATATTGGAGACTTTGAATTTTAGTATAAATTATGTATCCGACACTACGCCCATCTGTATCCTTGCCATATTTGGATAACATAGCCTATAAGTTAAAATTTAAATGCATTCCTGATGTATGCAAGCTTATACTCTTTTGACACATATCAACTTGTATGAATGGCCCATATGTTTTTCTTCTTGATGATCATCAAATCAAGAGTTTTAGAAAGGTTAACCTTTATATTTTATCTTAAGATCCACAGTCTTAAAGTTCTCTATCTTATATATAGATTGTTGGGCTGGTTGGAACTCGTGTATGCATCTGGAGGCGTCATGGGGAAAGAAGTATATTTCCTGCACGTGAAGGAACATTTTCAAGGGGGTTATGCATGCGGTTTGTTGTCAAATGATTCCATAATTCATAGAAAAATGTTTTATTGTTAATTTTTTGGAATTAATTTCATATTTATTGCTCATAATTTAATATAGTGCATTACCTTTTATTCAGTTATTGTTTGAGGCTAAAAATATTATGGAATAAAACAATATTCTTGGATATGTACCTGAATTAACTGAAGGATAATGTATAAGTAATTACCAATAAAAAAGGATAATGTACACATAAAAGTATGAATTCTGCTGAGCTGTCAGTGGATCAAATTTGGTCCAATTCGGTTCTAAACCAATAACAATCCAATTCATAATATCCAAATCCAATCCCATCTGACACCTGAAATTTGAGATCCAATCCAATTCATTATCTATAAATTGGTTGGAAATTAACTTTTAGGTAATAATTAATGATTAAAGATAGTTCAAGTATGTCTCGCAGGAAAACCATGTTCATATGAACTGATTACCACTTGCCAATTACCACCATGATATCTAGCTGGAGTCATGATGTAACATATACCATGTTGGCCATGATATCTAGCTGGAAACCATTCATTCCAAATATGACAGAGCAAAGGAAGTTGGATTGGATTTTTATTGCACTGGAGTCACTGGACTGGGATATATCCAAACTAATCCAACTAGAAAAGGATTTGTTTACTTCAATCCAATTCGATCCATTAAATCCTTAACAGATATCTGCATCTGAAGTTACTAGTTTTGAGATTTGAGTTGGATTGGAATGGATTAAAATCCAATCCATTGACAGTCTTAATGTTGATTATATTTTTGAAAAATAAAGTAAAATGCATTCCACCAAAAATGTGCAGAATATAGAGGTGCAGCTTGTGGTGGTCAGTGGCTGTACAGAGGATCTTTATCCCTGATAAAAAAAAGAAGTATATACTTTTTAGAAAAAAAAAGCAAAAAGTATTCTATCTTTGGACAAATAGTTTAACATGAGAGAAATATAGGTTGTGTGGAACATCCTGAAATCATTTTGAACTGATTGCCAGGAGAATTCTGTTTCCATTGCTTTCCTAAGAATTTCCTCTTCTGTGGGGGTTGTGGTGTGAAAGGAATGCAAGATTATTGGAGGAGAAAAATAAATCAGTTGAAGAGGTGTTAGAGATTACATTGGCAAGGGTGGCACATTGGGTACTAGTGACGAAGGAATTTAAGGGAGTGTCCATCATTGACTTGTTAAGAGGATGGAAAACAGTGGATGGATTCCAGATTAGCAAACAACAGAGATTGATGGATTGGTATCCTCCTGAAGCAGGTTTAATTAAGTTCAAACTTTGATTGGTATTGCCTTGGGAACCCAAGGCCTTCTTGTATGTGTGTGTGTGTGTGTGGGGGGGGGGTGTTGTAAGAGATCAGTGTGGCAATATTATCCTCAGATTTACAGGTCCAGCAGGACAGGGTAATTCGTTAAGGTTAAGTGCAGGATTATTAGTGTTGATTCAAGGTTTAAAACTGATGCAGCAGCAGGGGTGGAGAGATGTGATAGTAGAGGGAGACTGTGAAACTGTGATTTGTTGGATAAAAGCACAAGATCATCTACCGTGGGAGTTTAGGCAGTTGGTGAGGGTGGCAGTTGTAACTTGGACCTTGTTGAATGCCTCATTCAATTGGGTTCCTAGAAGTTCAAATATGCTGGTAGATTCATTAGCAAAAGCAGGGGTGGGGAAAGAGGTGTTAGATCGGGGTTGCCCAGGCCCAAGCTGTACTTTGTAAAGTTTCTGTTTGTGGCTTTTTTTGTAGTTCTTTGGTTCCTTCTACTCTGTACTTTGCAGGCCTGCTGTTCTCTATTGAGCAGTTATGTGTTTCTCTTAATGAGATCTTTTCTGTTATCTATCAAAAAAATAAAATAAAAAAAAGAAAAAAGAATTTCCTCTTCTAAAGCTGATTGTCATAGAAGGTCCTTGCATTTCTTTCAGTTCATATCATCAGATTATAACAGGAATATGCTTCAGGCAACTTTACCTTTCTTGTTTAATCTGCTTAACTTCCAAGTTGCTAGCTTGTCTACTAAAGTTCTTGGGCAACACTCAACAGTAGCTTATGTTAAAAAGGAGACAAAAACTCATGGGAAAAAAATAATAGATGTGATACTTATACCACATTGTGCATACTTGTTTCTTGTGAGACATTTTCTCAAGGCTGCTACCCACACTCCATACCATGAAGAAAACTTTTTTATAGGGACTGGGGACTCCCACATATTCTTGCAAGGAAAGAAGTAAAGAGGCTATTATTGAAAGTATCGCACTGAAGGTTGCACATTGGGTAAAAAAATTGGATTTGTTTTCAGACTTCACCATGGATGATTTCTTCAAAATTAGAGTGCAATTTTAACCTCCTCTTTTAAGAAACCAAAGCTGAAAAAGAAGTGGCCACCACCAGCTAGGGGATGGAAGAAGTTGAACTTTGATGGAAGCAGTGTGGGAACCCAGCACCATCTGGGATAGGGGGATTAATAAGAGAATGGGATTATGCTTGCTTTGTACACAGGTCCAATAGGTGAAGGAGATTCAATCAGGGGGGAGCTAAGAGCAGCAGTGGTTGGGGTGCAAAAGGCAAAGGAAATGGGGATTGACATGTTGGTCATTGAAGGAGATTCAAAAGTGATTATAAGCTGGTTATCAAAGATCACTACAGCAAACTGGAATTACAGGAATGAAATAAGATGCTTTGATTGGATTTCTAGAGACATGCAGTTGAAAATACAATGGGTACACAGGTCAGCCAACAGTTTGGCTAGTGGGTTAGCTAAACAAGGGTTTACTAGGCAACAATTGTATTGAGCTAAATGTAATAAACTATGATTAGGGGTGAGATAGCAGGGGCTGTGCTCATTTATTCATTTCTTCTAACTGATTTGTAATCTCACAACCTCTTGTTATACATGCTTCTTTTTAATTAATGCATTCTTTCAACTCCTTCCTACACTAAACACCCATAGGATGTAGCTACAATACCTGGGTCCAAATTTGGATTTTTGGTGCAGAAGTTTTCCTCAGTTATCCTTCTCCATAGGCTATCAGGTTCTCTATTGAAATGCTGAAGCCTACCTGGGCAGAGTTAGCCATCTTGAGGTGCCACGAGTCCAGGCATCCAGCAGATTAGAACACCTTTTCCTAATCTACCAAATGGAACTTGGCATCATTTATCCATCTCTTCCATAGAGAACCCCTTTTGAGGCTGTTCCAATTTGTTTTCCTCTGATACCATAATGGAAAAGACAATTTTTTTTTTATCAAATAATGGAAAAGACAATTAAAAAATATGGGTAGGTTTTTCTAATGTGTTTTGAATCAAAGCTATTTAGCCTTCCCCGAAGTACTACTACATTCCCAAATGGTTTTAAATGTGTATTTAGCATGGAGCAGCAGACCCAAATACTTAGATGGAAGCAAACATACCTTATATCCCAAAGCAATTGCTAAATCAGCAATATCTTCTACCTCCTCAACTGGCATCACTTCAATGTTTGATAAATTTATACATAGGTCAGACAGCACCTTGGACCACCTTAGGACACACCAGAGGTAAAGCCGTAAAGGAACTACTCCTGTGAAGCACAACTAAAAAAAAGTGCCATATGCAAATTGTAATAATGTAAATTTTAACTACCCCCTCTTTGATCAAGAAACCATCAATGAAACCTCCTACTTTTCTTGTCAATCTGCTTAGAGCTTCCTTCATGCATGTGAATAGAAGTGGTCATAACAACTCTCCCTGGAAGATGCCCCTATAGCTAGCTTTTAAGGAAACATGTGGATGAAAGATTTTTTGGAAAAGGTGACATGGCTGCATATCTCACTACACATGTTTTGAAAGATCCAATCATTCAATGTTTTGGAATGGTCTCAACATCATCATCATCATCTAACCCTTGACCCAATTATTTGGGTGGCTACATGAATCCTGTTTTGTCATTCCATTCTGTTCAGTGCTATATCCATCATTAAATTATGAGTGCACATCCTAGCATGAGAAGACAAATCAGGATCCATGACCATGAGAGTTATTAAACTTTCATTTTTTACCAACAAAGAAAAGAAAAAAAAAATATCATCCACCATTTTGAAGTATTGTGCATCTTTTCTGCTTCAGCCAAAATGACCATAATATTTATATGCAGCTACATTGATCCAGAGGCTGTGGTTGGTTGCGAGGATGGAACAGTTCGCATATTTGACATGTACAGTAGACAATGTTCTCACATTATTAGGTACAGATGATAACCTATGCTACTCATCAACCTGGTATTAGTAATTAAAGTGGATGTTTATTGCATTAGTTGTCAAATTGACAGTTACATATGGATGCTTTACTTTTTATTTAATCAATAACAAAGAATTTTGTTTGGCTGGATCCTTCTTGTTTAAGTCTTGTATATAATTCCTTATTTTTCTTTGTCTTGATGTATGGTTATGATGGATATGGATTGCGCCTTGTCCTCTCTCTCTCTCTCTCTCTCAAGTAACCAAGTACTTGTTTATTGTTTGTGACTTCTATGAAATTACCAGAATGACTTACAAATTTGCACTCCCAATGATTTTGAAACCAAGATTATTTTAGTTCTGTCAATGTCCAAAAAATGCTGCATCAGATCATCCTAGTGTATGTTCACCTTACATGTCTATTATCTTGACATTACAAGCTTTCATATCAGTTACTTCAGATATTCTCCACTGGAATGCTTTTACAGCCTTCATCTTGTTCTATAAGTACTTAATGAGTGGCTGACCTGAAGCTAGTTGATGTTTCCTAGTGTTTTTTTCCTCTCCCTTTTTTTTGCTTCACTATTCTTGGATGCCAATTGGATGATTAATATCATATTTGTTGAACTCATCAAAAAAATTAACATGATATTTTCTAAATAAATAGCGTGAGTTATTGTAAGGACTAAGGTATGACAGAAGAATGTGAGAGTGGGAAATCTGGAAAAAATTCAGTTAAATCCTTCTATAATTTCATTTCTTGGTTGGAGGTGTAATGAATCCCAGTCAAGATTGTTTGGTGCAAGAATGTGCCTACAAAGGTAGCTTTTTTTTACTTTGGACTGCATACCTAAACAGAATCCTTATTAGGGATAACTTGGTAAGGAAGGGTATGCAATTGGCTTCCACAAACTGTATACTATGTGAGTAACAAGTGGAGTCTGAATCATTTGCTACATTGCAGTTTTTCTGCCGAGGTATAGTCCAAAATTTGGAAGCTTTTTGAGGCAAAAATTTTCTGTCCAGAATTGGTAATGGAGTTTGTGAAAGGTTAAGTATAGGAGGATCATCCAACATGGCTCCAGCAGCAACCCTTTGGTGCATTTAGCAAGAGAGAAGCACAAGATTTTTTTTTTGATCAATTGAAATGCAAGAATATTCAAGAATAAAATAGCTCTACTGATTCAGTTCCTCAGAAAATTGTGGGCGAAATGTGTTGTTGGCTCTCTGTAAACAAGTTGGTTAAGGATAGCATTAACACTTTTTTGTATATGGTAATCTTTTTGTAAAACAGGGCTGTGGAGTATAGTATACCCGTTCTAAAAAAGTGGTGTGAGGCACATCAAAGAAAAAGTACATTGCATCAGAGCTGATGTGCTATCCTATAAATTACTCTGACAAGAGAAGAATCACAAGTGTTCATGGATTTTCTTACTATGATTGACTGTTTGAGTGTCATTCCAATAGAGAGAACTAGACAGAGAAGCCAAACATTTAACTTCTTTTTATAATGAGTTTGCATCTAATCTTATCTTCTATATGATATAGCTAGGATTACATATGATGGTGATGGAAGTTGTGCATATGCAAATATTCTTTAAGATTTTCTTCTTTTTTATTTTTTTTGAGAAGAGATTAGGTATCATTTCATTAGAAAAAAAACAAGTACAACCAGTAGCTGTACAAAGGAAAATACAAAGCAAATTAGACCATTTTTTCATTTGGAGATACAAAAAAGGTTTTCAAATTCCAAAGAGAACAAATGGCAGATCCTTCTAAATTTAACTTGCAGATGCCCATGGCAGATCCTTTAGGAGTTTATTAGGGGCTTGTTAAATTATTTTTTATCATAAAACAATGTGTAGGAAGGATCAACTCCAATCAATGTCATATCATTAGATGACCTTGAACCAAAACACAGTAATAAAACATGAAGCAGGGGATAAGGAAATGGTATGTATAGGTATTCACCAAAATTGATTGTCAACCATCTTATGGTCTAGACACAGTCTAAAGATAGAATCAACTATGCAAATAAAAGATTGTCAGGTATGGGATATGTTAAAAGTTTAGTGATTGGTCATATGATGTCTTTAAGAAAGTCTTTTATCATGTCCTCTTTTTTAAAAGTAATGCACTTTGCCTTTCTTATAAGTATGATTGGTTATTTCAATAGAGTGGAACCCCCTTATAGTTGGCCTAATGCTTGTTTAACTTAATGATGCTGAATTGTTGATATCACATACATATTCAGTGGATCTTCATGGTGTTGGTTATTGTTCTCACTAACCCTCTGGTTCATTGTTTGCATTGCTTTCATGCATGTAGGATGCGTTCTGGGCCTGTAACATGCTTGGCTCTAACTGATAATCAGATGATTCTTAGTGGCTCTTCTCTTGGCAGTATAACAATGGCAGGCCTTTCATCTGATCAACGGGTAGCTTCTTTAAAGTCAACTGATTGCACAGGTTATCTTCATATGCTTGATCTATAAACAATATCTAGAGATTCAATTTGTTGGCAGAAGTGCAGTTATTTCTTATTTTACTTTTCTTCTTCAATATGTTTTTCTAAGGTTACGGTGATGCTTGTGACATGCCTTTTTCCCTTTTCAGTATTTGTGTGAATATCTTTATGCCTTCTTTTGTTGTATTTTTCCTGTTGTGATTGCTTTTGGGAAAGGGATGGTTTTTGACTTCCTAATGGCAGAACATGTAAATGAAATAGTGATCTAATTCTTTCAAGCCTACTCTGGTAGGTTGAGTAGATATAACTTGCAGGCTTGATGAAGAGTATGTTAATGGAATGCTAGACAGAAACTTTTTTTTTTTGATAAATGAATAATGATTTTATTATTAAAAGTAGGAAGTATACATTCACCTTAAGAGGAGGCACGAGATGTTACCTCCCTGTAGAGATGAGAAGATAACCATACTCTTAACAGGATACAATCATAAGGTAGGCCCAAAATAATTCATCCCTTGCGACCCCTTGTTTAGCCAAAGAATCAGTCATAGCATTTTCCGATCTGCTAACCCACTGAAAACTGACTGACATGTTCCTTGCAAACCACTTAACTTTCTTGAGAAGATCCCTGTATCCCCAGAACACTATATCTGGATTCGACAGCCAGCCCACTACCACCTTAGAGTCTCCCTTGACTATCAAATTTTTTACTCCTAGTTTGTTGGCAACCTGTATTCCTTTTACTGCAGCCAGTATCTCAGCCCTTGTAGAACCACCAACTCCCACTGGACTTGGAAAAGGGGATAGGATAGTATTGCTGTCCTTATCTTTTAGACAGAAACTCTCAATGAACGGTGTCTTTCTTTTTTAAATTATTTATGGGTAGATTTTTTGCTTATCCATATTTGATGCATCAAATGATGCCTCTTTTAACTCTATTAAGAGGAAACCTTTAGCTTGATCATATGAAGTGTTGGCATCTCTGGAACTTAGGCTGTATTTGCTTGCAATGCAAATATATTTGTACTGATGCAAAATTATGGCAGTGCAAATGATTTGAGTGTAAATTCTGACCTATTTTTGTTTTAAATTTTAGCTTATTTTGTTTGATTGCAGTACAAATAAAGTAAATTAAGACAGGAAGCAGAATAAACTAAAACCCAAAACAAAGTTGAATGAGAATTTCCATTTTTTTTCATTTGCACTCCCATGCTTTTATACTAATGCAAATAAATTTGCACTGTAACCAAACACAGCCTTAGTGGCATTGGCAATAGTGACTTGATGAATAGTACAATGGAAATGTTAGGCCTCCTCTTTTCTGATTATATGTGGTAGCATAGAGCCTCTTTTCTGATTATATGCAGATGCAACTGAGGTTGTGTATTAGTTGTGCATGCTAATCTAAGCTTAATGTTCACATTTTTAGTTGTACAAGGTTACACTGGGAAGTGGAAACACCATTGGATTGAGAAAATGTTAAGCAAAGGCCCGTGGTTGCTTTTTCACATGCCAAATGATATTAGGGAGCTAAGATCAGCCCTTTCAATTTAGATTAGAAGGATGTTAAGGGAACAAAATATCAGAGCAGGTGAAATAGTGACAACATGATGCCAAAGTTAACATAACTTTCGTTTGGACATTAGCTGATATTTTAACAGTAATATATCATGTGCTCCCTTAACTATTTTTAATCTTAATACAATAACATTAAATTCCAAAAGAAACATCATAATTATGATTATTTTTCAAAATTGTGATGTACTTTATAAGTTATTATTTCCTTAAATTTGATACTTTTTCATAACAGGCATAAAGAGCCTATGTTTTAACCCGCGCTCACATTTAGTATTTGCCGGATCAACTTCTGGATGTTCACATTGTTGGGACCTCAGGTATGAAAATAAATCTTTTTACCAAGCTATTGCATGAAAGATGTTTCTGGTGCTATTTATCAAAAAAAAAAGATGTTTCTGGTGCCAATGATATCTTATTCACATTAAAATTTGACAATTTCTTGTTCAGTATGCAGTTAGCATTAAGCATATCCCTGCCTATCTTTTTTTTTTAATGTAACACTAGTGAAATTGTTTTTTTTTTTTTTTTTCCTTTTTTCATGTAGTTTTGGTGATTGTTTTTGGGTTTGGATAATATGCCTGTTTTGGGTTATGGGTTTCCAGTCGCCTTCTCTCTGGGAGTCCTATCGGTGTAATTTCCTTCTGAAATTCAGTCCTATAAAAGCTAATGTGGTGGATGACATGGTTGGCTAAAGGGATTATATGTGAAAGAGAAGATATTGTGTTTTTAACGCATCTACATACTTGCCAACTTTGACAAGTTTTGAGCATCTTATATATTTTTCAGTCATGGTACCTGCCTCACCCACTTGGTGCACAAAATCACAAGCCCTTTATGAAGCATGATTTCCACTGGGTCTGAATGATACTGATTTGTATGTCTTTTTTTTTCTTGTCTCGGACATGAATTATTTTCCAGGACTATGAAGCCTCTATGGCAAACAAGAGTCGGTCCAAACGTTGTGTATTCCATGCAACATTTGCAGAGTGATAAAACGGCACTGGTTGTTGGTGGGATAGATGGTGTGCTACGTATTCTAAACCAAGACACTGGTCAGCTTCTTTCCAGCTATGTGATGAACGAAGAAACCGGAAAATCAGGTTCTGCTGAAAAGAGATATGGCATCATCGAAAAGAAGAGAGTCAGAAAACTTTCAGAAGACATCCAAATTGACAGCATTCCTAAACTCAGTCGACCTCCCATTACATGCTTGGCTGTTGGGATGAAGAAGGTTGTAACCACACACAATGGTAAGCTTATCAGGATGTGGAAATTCAACAAGTAGCTGGGGAAATTTCATTTTTGCCTTGAAATGTCTTTCGGTATTCCATTGAAGAGATGCTGGAGACCAAATGACCAATACATCTAACATCTGGCTCTCGCATCCGTTCAGAATCTAGGCAAAACTTGCGCTCAAGAGATTTTTGCCTGATTTCCATGGATGAGTGGTTAGCAGAGATCTTAGTAAGGCAATCTGCATGGTTTTTTTTGTATTTATTTATTTGTTCATCGTTTGGGAGTACTTGTTCAATTGGAATCTGTACATTATAAATGTGATTGAATGTGTGTGTATTTTAGCGGATCCAACTAACAATGGGTCCGACACGGTGTTCTTCCATGACAAGAGGGGCAATCAGAAAATCATGAAAAATCAATAGATATTGATGGAAAAATGGTATGCCTACATGTTCCTGAAAGGTGCACTTGATTATGGTTGGCAGACAATTTTCATCCTTTTGAATTTGGTGATGTCTGCAATTTTGTTGAGGGTAAAAGATCTAAAACATACCCTGAGGTTTGAATGAACTGTTTTAAATGTTAAATAATACTTAAACGGTTAAACCTACCCTTCTCCCTTATTAAAAAAAAATAAATAAAACAAAAAAAATTGACGTGCGTGTAGTATCGATACACCCCAATATGGTGGAAGGGGTGTATCGATATTTTGAACCTTGTGGAGGGTATGTTTAAGTCCAATGGGGGCCACCTCAAGCTCAAGATATGTTTTAAGTCAATTTAAGAAATCTTAGGGTATATTCAAGTCTTTTTACCAAGGCTATTGGCACGATCTGTTCTGTTAAAGTAGAAGTCATAAATTGATAAATATCAGTTATTTACATATCAAAATATGGGAACTACTGGGAAAGAATTGGCATAAAAAAGAAAATTGAAAAAAAGGATACATGCCTCCCTGAATGAGAGACAAGGTTACCTTTTGATTAAAATTTGGGGGTGGTTCTAGAATCTCTTCATATTGATTTGTTGGAGCTTAGAAGATGGAATCCCAAATATTTTCATTTATGTTCACTCAGTTCTTACTTGTTACTTGTTAGAGTGATTTTAGGGGAGACTATAGAATGTAGCACTTTGGTAAATGCACCGGGCCATTCTTAACCCTGGACTTAGGGTTTATCCTATTCACCCCTCCAATGATCTCAGCTACCTGGGACCAACATAGGATAATGACCTTTCAATTATTTTGGTGTTTCATATAGAATCAAGAAATGCAGCCTCATCATAATCAACATCTGAGCCTCGTCTGCTGGATTGTATGGAATTGACTAAATGGATCCTGTTCCACCATTCCATTCTGTCAAGTGTTGGAAGTTTCAAGAAATTACATTTTTTTTAAGAGATTCAATGAGGTTGTAGGGCAGAAAGCATCGATTTTCTCAGATAATGAGAGATATAGATATTGATGTATGAAGGAAATAAAGGCATAAATAAGATGTATGAAGCTGAAGGGTTAAAAGACTTTAAATTTAGTAAATAGTTACATTTGAACGTATAGAGATACCAAAGAAGAAAGAGTAAACAAGCCTGTTGCAGGGTTTGTAGGAACTACTGCGACAGGAGAAATGTCATCAGTGCTATATGTTTTATTCTTGATTTTGCCATATGTTTTTGAACTTTTTGTTGCTCTTCGATATTCCAAGTTAGAAGCCTCCTCCCTTGGATTGGGCCTGAAATCTAGTGGCCCATCATTATATTGTGTCCCTTGATTTCATTGTCATACTCATGCACCACTGTTGGTTCTCTTGGTCTTGGGTACTAGGTACAATTGTACAAACACCAACACGACACCCAAGGCTGAGGCCCAAGCCCAAGATGAGGTCAATATTTAACCACAAGTTTCTGACACCTTCCACTTGCCGCTACTGTAGCTGCGGAAGCAGAGCAAAGCACCAGAGGAAGAAGAACAAGCGAAACCCTAACCGCAACCCGGGTTCCAGAAATCATGGTTTGCATCAGAAAGGCCACCATCGACGACCTTCTCGCGATGCAGGCCTGCAACCTTCTTTGCCTCCCTGAGAATTACCAGATGAAGTATTACTTCTATCACATCCTTTCCTGGCCTCAGCTCCTCTACGTCGCCGAAGACTACGGCGGCCGCATCGTCGGCTACGTTCTGGCCAAGATGGAGGAGGAGAGCACCGAGTGCCATGGCCACATCACCTCTCTTGCCGTTCTTCGTACTCACCGCAAGCTTGGCCTCGCCACCAAGCTCATGACCGCTGCCCAGAACGCCATGGAGCAGGTCTTCGGTGCCGAGTACGTGTCGCTTCATGTCCGCAAGAGCAATCGTGCTGCGTTCAATTTGTATACCGAGACGCTTGGGTATAAGATTCATGACGTTGAGGCCAAGTACTATGCTGACGGAGAGGATGCTTACGATATGAGGAAGCAGCTCAAGGGAAAGCAGAATCAACACCATCATCATCATCATCATCATCATCATCATCATCACCATCATGGGGGCTGTTGCTCGGGCGAGGCTAAGAGTGAGGAGGCAAAAGCTAATACAGCTGGATGATGGCGGAGGTAATTAGGATTTGGAGAACTGGGGTTTGGGGCATTTATGATTTTGAAAATGCTAATGAGGTAATATCTTGTATTTTAGTATTCTATGGATAAATCTACTTCAGAAGATTGCCAATTATCTTGGTTTTATTATTTAACATCGAAGTAGTAATTCAAATGGGCATGCTATGTAATGCAAACTGGGTATTCTGGTGAACAATTCTTTTGAGAATCCATGTCATTGCATTTTCTCGGTAATGCTATTTATGTATTTTGTCAATTTGTTCTTTACTATTGACATTTTCTTCATATTTCTGAACCTTGACTGAAATTGTAAGTGGAGAGTAGTTATAGAGGCAGCAATTTTATATTACATGGAGAAATCCTTCCATCAGTTGATTCAAGTGTTGTTCTGTTTTGGAATATGAATTTGAACTTGAGGTCAGGACTAGTGATACTAAGCATGTAAATTAGTTTAGATTTTGGGTGGCTGTTTTATGTGAATAGCTATTATGCCAATCTAATGTTCTGGTTAAACATTATATTGGTTATTGTAACGGCTTATCCAAATTAGTGCTTTTGTAAATACTGTCTCTAAATCTATGATCTGATTCCATTATGTGCAATTACATTAGTTTTCTCCTTGACATGTTTCTTTGGAATTTCTGTTAAAAAATTTCGATAGAACCTTTCTCCCGAACTTTCTTCTCGATTTAATTTGGCTCCTTAGAATACTTTCTTATCTGGAACTTTTGTCAACCATTTGAATGACACCTGTCTCCTCAGTTTTCCTTAACAATAGCTTTGTGGTCCTACTCAAAGATGTGTTATGCTTCTATCAGGATCATAAACACCTTCATTAGTGTCCAACAATTTCCCAAAATCACACGAATCATTTTTCTTGTAATTTAACAAATTTTCACCTCTCGTTGCTTCAGCATAGAAAAATAAAGATTGAGTTCATGCTAGATTATCTGATACAAAATGTGCATCATCCAGTGGCAATACTTTAGAAAACTGATCGTGCCTTAAAAAACAAATTTTATTTAACATCGAATTAAACACAGGATACAGATTCTTTCTCTTGAATATTCAGTGGATCTAACAGATATTTTAACATAAAAGAAAGAAATTTATTGAGAAAATATAAGAAGGCTCAAGGATGAAATAGGGTGATGATTTATCCCCCAAATGCATAGCATTGAAACACATTCAAAGGTACATCATTTTACCAATCAATAGTCTCCCAAAATTCTTCCCCAAAATCTGATCCGTTTGACTTATGAAAATTCTGGTAAAATCATCAGCTAATCCACTATCAACTTTCCAATTTCAATTATCTTTCAATGTGTCTAGACTTATCTTTGAACAGTCTTATATTTCTCTCCTTCCATAATTCCCAGCATATAGTGACTGGAATGCAACTCCAATATATGCCAGCCTCCTTGCTACCATAATCTTCATTCAGTTAGTGAAGATCTCACCCAGATTTTTTTTTTTTGATAAGTTGATCTCACCCAGGTTGTTAAGATGGAAAACCTGAACTGCAAATAAGAGAAGCAGGGATGGCAACGGGGCGGGTTCGGGGAGGGTTTTGTAAATTCTAGGCCCTACCCACATCCCTAGACCCCATATAATTTTCTCTTATTTCTTGTTATATATCAAGTGATAAATAAATAAAATGACACAAACAAACAACAAAATTTTCAATTATTTAATCAAAACATATAAACTGTCAATTATCCTTTACATAAAATTCAAAACATAATACATAAAGTTATGTGCTTTCCAACAATATGTGGGTTGATGAGGGTTGGGTTTAGCCTAAGACTGTACCCTACCCGTACCCGTATGGGTTGTAGAATCTCAAAACCCCCATGTCTGCCCCAAAAGCCATCCTTCAAGCATAAAAAACCCACCCCATTGGGGCGGGTACCCACCGGGTAGGGTAGAAATTGCCATTCCTAAAGAGAAGAACCTCCAAAGAAAATCTGCTACCTTGCTAGTAATGAGTAAATGCCTCACACCTTCTTCATATTCATGACACAAATAACAAATTCTGGCTATTTGGAAGCCTCCTTTTTTCAGTGGATACAACAGTCGTGCTTCTGTTTCAAACTGTCAATTGATATCTGCAAATTCACATTACTATTGTTATCTAACATGTGCCAATTTCTAATGGAAAGACCCCATCTTGATGTAGAGAAAACTGAAGTACTTTGAGATCTTACAACATAGTCATGAGTCTCAAATATAGGATTAGAGTGTCATTTGATGATCAAATTTGATAGAGATTCCATAGTTAGTTCATCATCATCATCTTCATCATCCAAGCCTTGTCCCAGCTACATGGGGTTGGCTACATCAATCCTGTTCTTCCCTTCTGTTATGTTAAGTGTCATATCTATTGTTAAATCGTGAGGGATTAAATCATTTCTTACTACTTGAACCCATGTCCGTTTTTGGTCTGCCCCTAGCTCTTCTAGCCCCTTCAACTTGTTACAGGTAACTTCTTAGAATTGATGTAGATGGTCTTCTCTGCATGTGATAAAACCATCTTATTACAGGTTTCTCATTTAATCACCTATTGGAGCCACTACCAGGTTCCATCAAATGAATTTATTTCTGACCCTGCCCTTTATAGTTTTTCCATTCATCCATCTCAACATTTGAAATTCTACCAGACCCACTTTTTGGACACGTTTCTTGAATGCAATGCTCTATTCCATAATACATTGGCCTCAACCATTTCATAAAATTTCCCATTTAATCTGAATGGTATTTAGCTACCATGTAAGGCTCTAAATGCACTAATCCATTTTGCTCATCCTGGTCTAATTTTATGGGGTGACATCTTCCTCAAGCTCTCCCTTATTATGGATTATAATAGTAACTCTTTAGCTACCATGTAAGGGTCTATATTGGTTCCATGAACTCTTTAGTAACTAAAGAATTACTATTCTAAGTTCTGAATGTTAAAGCTTTTAACTCAATTTGCATGGAAGTTCTATGAAATTGTGTTGTCAAGCATATGCTAGGGAATTTTAATTTATTTTGAGATTTAAAGAATAAGTTTATGTTAAGAGTGAAGAAAAAACAAAACAAAAAAAACGTCCTCTGGTGTTCTGCATACCATTTTGTAATGAGTAACCCAGGGTTTTTGCCCCATCCTCTGATCTTCTGCATTTGTTTAAAGAACTGATTTTAGATAATTTGGGTTGTGTTTGATACCACTACTGTTTCTACCTGAAATGTTTTTCCTCGATCAATACAAATTGGTGAGAGGTGTGTTTAAAGAATGATTAGACTTCACCTCCCTGGAGGTAGAAAAACCAGTTTGATAAACAGCCTCAAATAACAGTTGTATGCCAGTTTGTGTTGATCAACCCAAAAGATCAGTTTGATAAACAACCTCAAATAACAGTTGTATGCCAATTTGTGTTGATCAACCCAAAACATTTTAGGTAGAAATAGCAATGTTACCAAACACAACCTTGTTGGCTCTTTAGGTTTCTGTTTGGATTGCAATTCGGTAGTTGCAGGTCCAAAAGGCTTCTCCTCTTACAAGGTCTTGTCACTAGATCGAAATTCTTTCCCTTCTTCCCTGGTTGGGTATACAAAAAGTTATTCCCTTTTCAGATAACAATTATAGTGTGATCTTTTTCGAGGTTCAGTAAATAGCATGCCATATTGTAACGAAAACTGCATAGTTTGGAAGATTCCTGTAAATGGTAAGTTTCTATCTATAGACGCTTGAATTATGTGATGAAACGGCTACATGAAATTTGGGTTCTAATTTTGAAGAAAACTTTGTAACATGAGCCATTATTATTCCGCAAGTTAACAAGTATTCGTGCGAGATCGGATGACAGTTTTTTTTTTTTTTTTTCATTTTCATAAAATTTCTATGAAATTCATTTGTCATTCTGAGGAATTTCAAGTAAGTTAGGCTTCTGCTGGTTAAAGTAAAAAGACTAACAATTTCGGAAGAATGAAGTCTCAATCTCTACCTTTATTTCTTTATTTCTTATAAATTGAGCCTATCATGAAATCTTTAACGGGGAAACAAGTATGAGATTCAATATTTAGAGCTTTTCTAAATAAATCAAACAATTCCTGTTTGGGAAGTATGATTACCACTCCCCTTTAGCTCATGGAACGCCTATAAATTTATCGATGTTATCTGTCTTGGCTTTATATCCTTGTTATTCATTCATTGGTAGACACATGTACAGAGGGGCCTGATATGGGAATTCAAAATAGAGACGGGATTCTGATCCAATAGGGGGTGCTGGGTTGGTTTGGGTTAAGCTATAACTAGCCAAACATGATTTTCAATTCTAAGGTTCTAAATCCTAACTCGACCCTATACTTTGGGTCTAGTCTTGCTTTGACATCTGAATTTTAATGTGCCAATCCAATACTTGAACTCTCAAAACATCTCAATTTAATCTCTACCATTAGTCAGTTATTTGTATCATATGATGACATGTGTAACTTAAATTTTTGAAAATGTCAAAATTATCCTTTGAAATAAGACCATTGTTTATCATCTTCTTCTTCGAGAATTAAGATTGAACTAAAGTAATGGTGAAAAACGGACACTTGGATTTGGACATTTAAATAGTTGATAAAGAAAATTAGATGATGTCAGAAGGGTATTAATCTGCAATTTATCCTAAAAAAATTATGACAAATCACCATCCTCTTCCTCTCATTTCAATAACTTTATATGGAATTAGTATTTTTTTAGTCATATTTCTAACCTAATCCTAACCCTTTTCTACTATTTTCGGGTTGCCCCAACTCAAATTGCAACAGTACCCACATTAAAAGTGCTCAGGGCCGGAATTGGATACATAAAGTATGTGTTTGGTACCGTTTATGTTTATTGATTAAATATTTGTACTTTATTTGTTAGTAAAACTGAGAAATGCAATAATTGCAATTGTTTATGACAACTGGGTGCCATTAGGTGCCACTTCAGCATAACAATGAATAAGAATAAATGCTTGGCCCTCTATGAAAGCTTCAAAAAATAACTTCTACAAACAGTTGTCATGCAGATAAACCAAATTTTATCTTTTACATTTTCGATGTAAAGTTTATTTTTTACATTTTCGATGTAGAGAAGAAGAAGAGAGAGAAAATGCTGAAATGACGCCTATATGATACCATCAATAAATATTTACTAAAAAAAGGTAAACGGTACCAAACATCACAAAGTAAGAAGACTCTGAAAAAAGGTAAACGGTACCAAACATCACAAAGTAAGAAGACTCTTTTGGGCTGACCTTCCTAGTTATTTGTCTATCCCGGACGCTTGGAAGGAAAGGAACGAAATTGAACCCTACCTCTTTTTCCCTTTTTCTACAAAAAGGGAATTAGATTCGA